GGGTTGCTGGTTTCATAAAGTAACACTTTGAGTGATTAAGTGTCAACGCTTGAGAACGCGAGGACAGCGTCTAAAGTGCTGGGTTAAACTTTGTGTGTCACCGAGCAGGAGAAGAGGAGCCAGTGATTGCGAGAGCAGTGAGACGGATTCTGAAACCGAAAGTTAAGCGTTTGGGTGACCTAGACCTAGAAGGTGGAGTCGACCAACGTCATTTGAAGAGGTAAGTTTGTTTTTCAGAGAATGGCTGACAGCTCGGGTGCGACACCTAGTGGGAAAAGGGGATACAAACCTCTGAAGGATCAGCTTGAACAGCTTAAGAAAGCTATTCGTTTGGCTTCCCCTGGGGCATTAAAATCAGCGGAGAAGGAGTCCCAAGCGATGGAGGTTGAGGTAAGCAATCTCATTAAATTTCAACAGCACGGGCTGGGTGATAAGATAGCTCTGAGCTTGGTGTTAAAAACTGAAGGAGAGAGATGTGAACAGAGATTGAAACAATTAGAAGAGGAGTCCAAGGGACGTTCAGTGAACAGGAAAGCCAGTGGAGAAATTAAGGACCTAAAAAATGCGCATGCCAAGTGTTGTAAGTGGCTGTTCCTGTGGAGGGCAGCCTCTTCCTGGATGACAGAGGAGGAGGATGACACAGGAAAATCAGGAGACATGGTGAGTATAATGGAGTCTCTGAAACACCTGAAGGAGGAGAATAAAAAGCTAGAGGACCAAATGAAGGATTTGACTCCAAAGGTAGAAGAGGCTAACAGGTATTACACACCGAGACTATATCCTTGGGCCGAATTGGCACGTAGTGCACCACCACCACCATATGTCATGCCTATAATGACCCTTGAAGGGGGACAAGTTCGCGGTCCAGGCGGACAGACTGGAGCTGTCCTTGGAGGAGTAGTAGATGTTGAGTATACTACTACAAGGGCAGTAGAGTGCCAGTCCCAAAATGTGGGAGAGAGAATGGTAGCCTCAGCTGCAGATGAAGGCTCAACCTCGCCTCCCCGTGTGTTGGGTAGTGGAGACAGGATACGGGCCGCAGTGTCTACAGTGGAACAGCCAAAGCAGGATAGAGAGGCCGAAAGGACGTTTAAAATGGAGGACAAGATGCCACCAGGGGACACCACTAAGGGAGAACCCTGGGAAGGAGAAGTGTATGGACAAATGCATGACGCCCCACGTGCGCTTTTAGAGACATTAAAGGCATTGGATGTCATAAAGCAGAGAGTAATGAAGAAAGTGTCAGATGAGGAGAACGAAGACGGCGTGACTTCACCAGAAGAAGAGGACGATGAGGAGGACGAAGACGCAGCTGAGTCACAACCAAGTACAAGCCTAATTTTGAGGAAAAGAATGGTGAAGAGAGACCAAGCGCAGAGACGGCCCTTATTTAAGAGCTCAAAGGGAAAAGGAAAGTTGAGGAAGAGTAGAAAAGTGAGTTTTGAACAAGGAGCTGCTGACCCTGGTTTAAATCTGCCTTTAATAGCAGGCCCAAAGAACGAACCAGTCTATCGCGCATATAAGGTAAGAGATTTGGAAGCATTGGTTAAACAACTTCCACCAATAACTGAGGGAGGAGCTAGCTGGTTGAGAAGGCTGGGCGCACTGACCGAAGGAGAAGAATTAGCGCTGGGCGATTTTCGCGCTTTGGCCGGACGTTGTATGCTGGGTGGTGGGTTAGTAGATGTTGAGCAGATAGCTCGAACAGTCAGATATGCAAATGACCAGCCATACCATGAGGTGCAGAGTGACTTAGCAAATGCAGTCCGGGAGAGATACCCAACTCCTAACACTGGAGCCATTCCGAAAATTATTTGGGATCCCAAAGCCACACCCAGAGAGTTTTTAGCTAAAGCAAAGGAACAATGGCTGTTAGAAACAGGAATACACCCAGGGAAGGAGGGCGAAAGTAGAGCATGGTTCCGTTCGGCTGTGCTGGCAGGGCTGCCCAACCAGGTTGCAGTTGACTTGGAAAAGAACCCAGATTTTGCCGTTGCAGACTCGGTACAGTGGGAGAGACATGTGACCCACAGACTTCAGCAGGAACAGGATTTGGCAAACAAACAAAAGAAAGAGTTGGAGGAGGCACAGGCGCAGCTGGTGAAGTTACAGCTGACAGAGGCGAGAAATAAGGTAGGCGACAGAAAGAAAGAGGATAAAGAAAGCGCAAAGAAAATAATGGTGGCAAGGCCTCAGCCTGATCCTGTGCCTGACTGGCCAGATCAGGGTCCGGGTCTCTACTCTGATGATCGTTGGCCCGCCAATGCACCAAGGCAGCGTCAACCCATAGGGAGTTGGGGAACCGGTGGACCGCAGAGAGGGCGTGGTGGATCCGCGAGGGGAGGACAAAGGGCTCGGAATCTGGGGAATCCTAGCAGTGTGTCGAGGACTGCGTGTCTGAGATGTGGAGCAGATGGACACTGGGCACGAGACTGCCCTGAACCGCCGCTAAACTATCAGGGGCGAGGCTATCGATCCCAGACACCAGGAGGCTCAAGACAAAGAGCTGCTTACAGGGGAGCACATCAAGCTCCAAACCCGAATGCAGCACCAGTCGCCCAGTACCCAGTAGCTGACTGGGGCTGGGAGGGGGAGCAATACTGACGGAGCCCGGAGAGACCGAACAGCATGGGCACGGCAGAACCCATGCTGTCAATGACCGTGGAAGGCACTGAGTTGCCCTTCCTGGTGGATACTGGAGCAACATACTCCACACTGAGAGACACACCAGACAGTGCGACACTCTCCTGTCACACAGTTAATGTGGTGGGCTTTTCCGGGATTCCGATGACTCTGCCATTGACGGATCCGGCATTGACAAAGCTGGGAGAACAGACTTTGAAACACCAATATGTGGTGTCCTCACAGGTGCCTGCAAATCTCATGGGCAGGGACCTGCTTGTGAAGCTGGGAGCCACGATCATGTGCTCACCAGACGGACTGACGGTTACTTTGCCTGGAGGAAAAGAATTTCCGTGTCTGGGATCACCTTCAAAGACTCAATATCTAGTCCAGAACTCTGAACAACCCACTGCCGAAATCTACTGGGGGAGGCTAGTGGAAGAAGGCATTCTGAGACATTATCAGCTGTGGAAACCCTGGATAATGAGCCTGGCCGTCTATACCCCGCCGCGAGATCCGTTTCACGTTACCCTCTTTTATGATAGGGAAGATAACGATATCTATTGGGAACGGTTCCAGTCTGATCTTGAGGGACAGACGTGGAAAGTGCGAACACATAACATTTATGTTGGACCAGAAGGTGTGGCCGCGGCTGTGAAATTTACTGATGAACAACTGCCCTGGTACAATGTGGGAGAGGACTCAGCCCCCCACATTACATTGGCGGTCCACGAGGGTCATGGGCCAAGAGATCTGGGACCAATGGTCAAGCGGGCGCTAGACAACGCCAGCTGGCAAAGCACCCAAATTCCAAATGTCTGGTATGCACCAAAATGTAAAATATATCGCATAACTTGTCTGTCCAGCGATGCAGTGATTTTAGAACAAAAAGAAATCTCCAGAATGCATGGCAGGGAAAGAATGGATCATCCTGATGCAGTAGCTGAGCTCTCAAAATTGCCTGATACTTTGTGGTCCACAGGGCCCACAGACGTAGGTTTAGCTAATTGTTCGCCGGTCCTGTTCCAGCTGAAGTCTGACACACCAATTAGTAAACCACAGTATAGGCACAAAACTGAAGCAGAGGAAGGTATAGCTGAAACCATTGAAGGGCTGTGGGAGGCAGGAGTGCTTGAGCCCTCATGGTCTTCTTGGAACACACCTATTCTGCCAGTGGAAAAACATGGGACAGGAAAGTACCGCATAGCACATGATTTGAGGGCAATAAATGCCATACTGAGGACTGACACGGTGCCTGTACCAAATCCCTACACAGCTCTGACCGCAATTACTGGGGACCAAAAGTGGTTCACATGTATTGACCTAGCGAACGCATTCTTTTGTCTTCCACTGCACGAGTCGCTCAGAGACATTTTCTCATTCACATACAGAGGCCGGAAATTCAGGTACACACGCCTACCACAAGGCTTTGCACTCTCACCAGGCATTTTCAATCAGGTGTTAAAGGAGGCATTGTCCCCGTGTCAACTGCCAGAGGGCTGTACATTGATACAGTATGTTGATGATCTTCTTATTGCAGCCCCGTCAGCAGCGGCCTGTACGGCAGCATCACTCGTGGTGTTGAACAGGCTGGCGGAGTGTGGCTTCAAAGTAAGTAAGGCAAAACTGCAGTTGGTCCGACCAGAGGTGACATTTCTGGGCCGGGTGATCGCACACAGATCAGTGGGGTTAATGAACACACACAGGGACCAGATTCTGACACATCCAAAACCAAGAACCGTGAAGGAGTTGCTTTCCTTTCTTGGCTTGACAGGTTACAGCAGGCAGTTCATTCCGAACTATGCTGGCAAGACTGCCCCTTTAAGGGACCTGATCAAGAAACTAGGCGTTCGAAATCTGAAGGCGGAATTGCCTTGGACGCCGGACACAGAGGCAGCGTTCATTTCGCTGAAACAGGAGTTGTCAAGAGCTACAGATCTAGCCACACCTAACTACGACGAGGCATTTTATCTTGATGTTTCGGAAACAAATGGGGTGGTAAATGGTGTGTTGTTTCAGAAAAAAGGGGGAGGTAGGGATGTGCTTATGTATGTCAGCATAAGATTAAACTCAACAGAAGCAAGGCATCCCACATGCACACAACACGCAGCAGGAGTAGCAAAAATAATTCAGAAAACAGCACACATAGTGAGGGAACACCCACTGAAAGTGCTTACCACACACAGTGTAGTGGCGTATGTGAACTCACAGGCATTTACAATGACCCCACTGACGCAACAGAGGTTGAGCAAAATTTTAGATGCGCCAAATCTGACATTCACACATAAAGGCATCAATATGGCAGATTTAATGGGGTCAGGAGAATCACATGACTGTGTTAAGAAAGCTCAAGTTGAAGCAAAAATCAGGGAAGACCTGAAGGCAGAGCCCATACATGGAGCTGAGGACTGGTTCACAGATGGATGCTGCCACAGAGATGAAGGAGGATTGAAAGCAGGCTATGCTGTAGTCTGTAGAGTAGGAACTGAGTTTCAGGTGAAAGAAGCAGGAAAAATTGAGGGACAACAGTCGGCCCAGAGAGCTGAAGTGATAGCCCTAACTCGAGGCCTGAGGTTGGCTAAAAACATAAGAGTGAACATCTACACTGACTCAGCATACGCGTTTGGGGCAGCTCATGTGGAACTGGCTCAGTGGAAGAGAGCCGGGTTCAGAACGGCTACCAATGCACCCATCCGTCACAAAAAGGAGATGGAGGAACTGGAAAAGGCCCTGGAGGACCCAGACGAGGTAAGTATCATAAAATGCAAAGGCCACTCACAAGCAGACAGTATGGTGGCAAAAGGAAATCAGAAAGCTGATGAAGCCGCAAAGGAAGCAGCAGGTTACAAAGGACAGAGACAAATGGTGCAGGTGACCCCGGAAGAGGAGGGGAGTACTAACAGCATGGAGGAAGTTAGACAGGCTCAGGAGGAGACATCCCCGGAGGAAAAGGGGGTGTGGGAGAACAAAGGAGCCTGGCAAGATGGTGGTTTGTGGAGGGGGCCAGATGGGCGTCCCGCTTTAACGGCCAAAATGGCGGAACAGAAGGTGAATGAGGCTCACGGGCTTGGTCACGTGGGAGTGAAACAGATGGAGAGAAATTTGTGCCGATGGTGGCATCCTGATTTGAGAAGGTTGATACTGGAAAAGGCCAGAACGTGCCTAATCTGTGGGGCACACAACCCAAAGCCAGCAGTAAAACCTGAAGCCGGTAAGTTTCTCATGCCAGAGAGGCCAGGAGAAGAGGTCGTGATTGATTACACTGACATGATTGATACAGGCCCAGGTGGTGTGAGGTATTTGTTGGTGTGTGTGGATGTTCTGACTGGATGGCCCGAAGCATGGGCAACCAAACGGGAAGACGCGAAAAGTGTGATCAAGTGCTTAATTAATCATTACATTCCAAGGCATGGGTTTCCCAGGAGAATTAGATCAGACAATGGCACTCATTTCAAGAACAAAGATTTGCAAGAGGTAGAGAGGATGTTGGGAGTGCAACATAAGTTCGGGACGGTCTATCATCCTCAATCTCAGGGAAAGGTAGAGAGGATGAACCTAAATTTGAAAAACAAGTTGGCTAAAATCTGTGCGCAAACAGGGCTAAATTGGGCCGCAGCCCTGCCCATTGCCTTGATGACCATAAGATGTTCTGTTAACCAATCCACAGGTTTCACCCCTTACGAGCTGCTGACTGGGAGACAGTTTCCAGCACCCTGGACAGTGGTCCCAGTGGAGCAGCCCAGGACAAGCAACAGGTCACATGCAGAATATTTTAATGAGTTGAAAGCTCTTGTGTCCAGCTTTACAAAACAGGTCACTTGTGAGAGACCCACGGGGAACGGAGAGGTCCCGGACGCAAAGGCGGTGTGGCTAAAGGTCATCAAGCGAAAGTGGAAGGAGCCCCGCTGGACTGGTCCGTATGAGGTGACCGCCCGGACGGCCTCAGCAGTCCAGCTGAAAGGGAAAGGCGACACCTGGTACCACTGGTCGCAGTGTGCACCCGCACACGAGAGCGTGGTGGAGGAGAACTCATCTTCAAAGGACACAGGTGTCAACAAACAGAGGCAGAATAAACCCTCTCACTTGTGCAACGAGCCGACCAATAGTCCACCTGGAAGGCCGAAGAAAGAAGAGCAGCCTAGGAGGAAATCGCCTCGTCTACAGAAAGGAGTGGTAACAAACTGAGAGTTTGAAAAGGGGTGGTGTACAGAAAAAGAGTAAAAGGGAAAGAGGAAAACAGAAACAAAGTTTTAAAATTTATGCTAAGTACAAATATACATAACACAATGCCATCCCGCGAGCCGGAGACTCGTGAGGAGAGAGGACTGATTAAAACGTTGCTTGTGATTGTCAGTGGGATGACTGTAATGATATTGATAATGGCCCTATGTTTGCTTGTTTATATTTTGCAGGGGGGCCCCCGCGAACTGTCTGAACACAGGGGCCAGTTGAATCCAGCACCAAAAGAGAAACCGTTTATTGAAACAGGACTAAAAAAGAGATCAAAACGCGAGGTTTCGGGTAAAAGGGATGAGTGCCTCAGTACTTATGGTGGTTTAGAGTTGAACTATGTTAATGGGTCCACAACTTCATTCACATTTGATTTATGCGATGTTGTTAAGTGTAAAGGAGCAGATAGTGGTTGGAGAGGATATAATGTGTGGGTTTGTTGGGATTATGCAGTAAGTACACATTGTGAAAGAGGGAGTAGGCCCTTTGCAAACTGGTGTCGGAACTGGAATCAGGTAAAGGGTTACACTGGGGAAGATGGGGAAGCGTCAGAACAAGGGTCAGAGAACGTGTTAAAACTCCAAAGAGATTATAGCCCATCTAAGAATCCGTTGACTATGTCGCTGGGCAATTGGTGGCGTAAAAATTCTGTGTATTTAGTCTTGGGGGTGGAGACTGTGGGGACTGACCCGAAGGGGCTAATTAAAGTTAATTTTCTTGAAATAGCCGATCCCGTGAACCCCGTAGAGCTAGTTAGAGAAGAAAAGGAAATACACATGATTAACAACCCAATAAACGCTGGTATACATTTTACAGGGAAAAGGGGAAACGGGTCGTCATATGGGGTACCAGAGGAACAGGAACCAAAGGATAGACGAGTCCTGGCGGTGGACTACACTAGACTGAAGCCTCAAGATTTAATTGAGCGCGCCACTGGGTTCAGTGACAGTAATCTCTGGCTGGACTGGATGGCTCTAAATGCTAGGGAACAGGAGCTAACTAACTGTGTTGCTTGCGCCTCTGCTAGACCACGTTTGTTCACAAAGCCCGCTCCACTCCATTCGGAGGACAAGTGGGGCCATGATTGCCTGTTGCGAATGACTAGAGGAGCAGTGAGTACTGGAGACTGCACTGTGTTGTCCAGTTTGTTTCCGCCAATTGACAAGCGGACGAAGCCAGGACCATTTTTGCCGAAGAAAGATAACTATACGTGTTTTAAGTTCTCCACAGATAAAGTAATATATAACGTGGGAGAAATCGACCCAAGCTGGTGCGCTGTTACCCAGACGGGAAGAACCACAAACAATGTAAGTGATCCCAACACTTTAATTGGGACTTGGGCTAGAAGTGGTCTTTACTATTACTGTGGGCACAAGACTCTTTTGGCTCGTGTTCCTGTGGGAAGTGTGGGGACGTGTGCGATGGTGAGACTAGGAGCACCTCTTATGCTAATTGGAAATCAGGTAAAAAGCATTCCACAGCACGACACACGCACATTGGCAGCGAGGCGGAAAAGACATATCCTGTCCAAAAGTGGGATTGAGGGAACACACGCTTATGACCCTAGGCTGAACTCGCCAACTTGGATTGACTCAATAGGGGTCCCCAGAGGAGTTCCAAGTGAATATAAACTCGTAGACCAAATAGCTACTGGTTTTGAGAATCTTCCAATAATTTCTGCTCTCTTTCCAGTGACCCCGAACAAAAATGTAGACAGAATCAATTATGTTCACTATAATTTGTTGAGGCTCTCTAACCTCACCAGAGACGGGATGGAAGGGTTAGCGGAGCAGATGGGTCCGACCTCATTAATGGGGGTCCAAAATAGAATGGCCCTTGATATGTTGTTGGCGGAAAAAGGGGGTGTATGTGCGATGTTCGGAGACCAATGTTGTACTTATATCCCGAATAACACTGCTCCGGATGGCTCAGTGACGCGAGCTTTGGAGGGGCTAAAGAGTCTCTCTAGAACCATGCACGACCACTCGGGAATTGACAACTCGCTGGAGGGGTGGATGACCTCAGTGTTCGGACGGTGGAAGGGGTTCGCTCTGTCAATTATGTTTTCGCTATCTGTATTGGTGGGTATTTTGGTGACCTGTGGTTGTTGTTTCATTCCTTGTGCCCGAAGGTTGGTGGAGAAGGTGATTGTAAAGGCAGTGGACCCTGGGGCGGTGGCCCCTATGTCCATGATGCCGATGATGGATATGGAAGTAGTTGAGTGGACTGAGGAGTGAACCGTAACATATGTATCGACCTCTGGTGTGCCAGAGGTCGAAAGGGGGATTGTGGGGATGAACAGAAAGTATTTTACCCGCAGGACATAATCTGCAGTATGATCGTCGCTGTAATAATGTAACAGATAGCTTTAAGAAGGCCTTAAGATGTTATGCATACAGTTATCATGTTAACTTGTATTTCAGGTGCAGGGATAACTATTTTATACATATTGCATATCTGTGCTTATTTGAGTTGTTGTTCAGGTTCTTTAAAGGTTTGAAGCTTCACCAGGCGCGACTGTCCAGGTGATACATGTTGAATAAAACTAGAACATAGAAGGAATTGCAATACAGGCTTACAATACATTTATATCAGGTTATCTTAATATCTTTTATATGCTTCATATTTTCATATTAAGCTTTTAGTAGAGGTTCTTGGTTAAAACATTTAAACATTTATTTAGTAAGAAGACATGCCCGTAGTCTCAGTGAGCCTCTGTCCTGGTGAAAGGTCAGAAGTACAACAGGCGAATTGAGAAAGAGCGTTTAAGGACAAGAGACCGTTAGTAGGTGAAGAGGCGACACAAGGAGCATGTGAGGTCAACACACACACACACATGAGGTAGAATTATTCAACATGGACATGTCTGAGGGGCCCATTATTTTTGTAACAGTGCACTTAAAGAAAACCTGTCAGGTGATTTTGTTTTGTGTTTTGTGAGCTCATAATCAGCTCTATTTTTTCTCATTTTTGTTCTAAGCAGGCCTGCAACAGCGCTGACAAATTCTCGGGGAGAGCAAATATAAGGGGGCTTTCCAGATTACAATTGGCTGAGGAGAAAGCTACCTGTGGGGACCTGATGAGGTCGTAAGTCCCTGTCTAAAAAGGATTTTTATGCGAGTCAATCCAGTCCAAAAGCATAAAGAATATTTTCCTATGGAAAAGAAAAATGAATGAGCTCATTTTGCTGAGGGTGGAGTCACTGATCGTGCGGGAGGCTCCACTATTAGCAAATATATGGTGTGAATGCATGTGAGTGTGTGACTGGATGAAGGTGTGGATGAATAAATGTGGACAAATAATTGGCTTTTATCAGAGAAATTTTTTGTTTGGTTGACTGGGGTTAGATTATGGGATTATGGTATATTGTTGGGAGAATGCCAAATGTTAAAGGGGAAACATTTTTGATGTAACTGGGTTACCGTTAATGGGAGA